GAGGGTGGGGGGACATATGTCCTCTGACTGGGACAGTTGAATTGCCCTGACCCAGGGTGCATCTTATGTGTTCTACTTGAACTCTGCCCTTTCATAATAAAAACCAATTACACGTTCTGCCGAAGAGAGGCACTTCAGCATAGATTACTTGGAGCTGAAGAAGGAGCCTCTAGGAACAACAGAACATAGAATATTCTGTGTCATTGTTCCACTGTCCTCCAGGTAACATGGCCATTGTGTGTCTTTGAAATGGTGTGTGTATACTGGAAATGAATATATTCTTCTCCGAAATCCCTGAAATTATTAAACCTTTATAAAGCCTATAACTTCTAATTAGTTCTAAATCACCACTTCCCAAACTGTAATCTAGTACAATCTTCCATTTCCCATTTTGCTCTATTTTTATTAGAAAACATTTGGATTTTCCTAAAACATATTTACTGTTATTTATAATTTGTCTTTTTGATTGAGGATATTAATTAAACATGGCAACCCATCTAAGCTTTCCTATATTTTCACATCATTCTTTCTGCTAGATGTAATCTTTGTATTTACAATCTGCAAACTCATTTTACAGTTAAATATCTTGTCTCAAATTCTCTTCCTAATTGGGTTAGCATAACTGCAGTACTTGGTACAATTTTAATTCTGTTGATGAGGATATTTTCATGATTATCTCTTGATACATTTTGAAATTCTGCCGGCATTTTATCTGACCCAGAGTAGACCTTAACGCCAAGCACTCTGCCATCCTAAATTTCATTATCTTAGTTTATTTATATTTTGCTAGAATTCACAGGATGCCAATGTTAGATATTTCCTGCAAGACTCTGAACTTGCAAAGGCTATCTCTTACATTTTTCTCAAATCTATCTTTCATAATTGTCAGAGTGAAAATAAAACAAAATGAAACAGAATAATATGTAAGAGAACTTTATGTGTCAGTTGGTGGTTTAAAAAAAAATGGGAAGTACCCCAAGGATTTACTTGAATATTGCAACATATCATGTAATAGAAGCTCTTCCAAGTTCCTGTGTCACTAGCCAATGTGAAGAAAAAAGGAAGATTCACGGGAGAAATGAGTCACAAATTACAATTTTCACTGTGGAACAACAAAGTTATCAAATTCTTAGAGCAATCTCATATACCCAACCAGATTTCACAGGACATAGGAAACCAAAATAATCCTGTAATCATTAGAAATAAGAATCAGTAATTTAGAAATCTTCCTCCAAAGATAATAGTAGCTTCCAAAAGGGTGAGCCAAGAGGTGAAGGGGTGAAAGGAGGGAGTGATCAGAATGTCTGGTGGGAGAGTGCAAGGAAGGGGTGCCTTCAGTGCCAAGGCTCTGAGGCAGGAGCATGCTCAGGGAGTCTGAGGGACAGTGAGGAAACTGTAGGTCCTGGAGCAGAGTGACAAAGGGGGAGAATGGTGGAAGGTGACATCACGGGCCTTCTGGGAGGCACAGATCACATTAGCCCAAGGACTAACTTAGGAACCTTGCCATCATCTACAACATCTACAGTCCAGCTCCTGGATAGACTCCAGAGAAATGCAACCATGTGCACAAGGTGGCTGATCCCAGATACCTCCCACCTCGATGCTTGTAGCCAGGGAACTCCAGACACAGTCTAATGCCACCAGCAGGAAAGTGGGTCACTGAATCGTGGTGTCTTTACACAAGGGAATGTGATAGACTAGTCCTAGAGAGGCATACACCCACCTATCATTAACTGGCATGAGCAATGCCATTTATCTGAGTGTTGTTTAACACTTTGTGTGCATGTGTGCATTTTTTTACTAAATTTTTTAGAACCTCGAAAAGAAGGATGGAATTGATTGCAGGGAGGTAAGGAAGATATTTCAATTTTATGAGTCGCCTAAAAGGGCACAGGGTGTGTTGTGTCTCCCATCTCTATTAAGGACTCAGATTGGCTGAACTTCACTTCTTCTTACTGCTAGAAATCAAAGTTATGTCTCAGTGGGTTTAAAAAAGACAATTTTAAGGCTTTCTGGGCCCCTACGATGTTATTAATCTCTGGGTTGGGGAGCTAGCAGAGGGATTGTCCATCTTCCCCTCTTCTTCTGTCATTACTAAATGTTCTTTCAGCTGTGAAGATTGTTGGGGGATCCTCAGAAAGAGCTCGGAGAATTGTCGTTTATTCTATATGCCCAGATAGCTGCTGAGAATGGAGACCCAGAGGACCTGGATCACGGGCTTTGATGTTGAGCACGTGATATATGCCACGTGCATGTTCAGGGTAAGTGGGGGTCACCGTGTAGATGAACTAGAGAAGAACGACACCTCTCAGATTTAGGCTGGGGGATTTTATTTATGTAAATTTTTGCATGTCTTAAGCTGATTTTCTAATTGTTTGGGGGCTTTGTGCCACAGACAGTGCTAGGGTAACTTCACCTCCTTCATGCACAGCCACGTGGATGTTTCTCAGAGACCTAGTCTTTTTCTCCTGTCTCTCTTCCACTCTTGTCCTCTGTGGGCCCTTGTCCCCAGCCACCCTGGCCACACTCACAAGCCCACCGCCACAGTAGTTGGTTCTTTTGCATCTTGGAGTTCAGAGAATTTGACAAAATCCCTCATGAACAAATCATGTGTCAAAATAACCTGAAGGAAAACCTGCTAAGGGGGGAAGAGGGAGGGAAAAGACTCTAAAAACTAAACTTCTACATACTCTTTAATTGTATCAATAGCTTCTTATCGTTCAGCATTCCCACACACAACACTGCATCTCAGGCATCCAAATCCATGTAGTTCTAAAGCCAAAGCCAAATGAAACAAAGATCAAAAATTTTTTAAATTATTTTGTCTTCAAAACTCACCTGATGACAAAGTACCTCCTCTTCTTGCAAGACCCGTTTGTGTAAATATCCAGGCTTTACTGGAGATATGAATGTATTTCATCACAAGGTGCAGCCCCCAGATATTGAGGGGCTCCCAAACTTGCTTTCTTACAATCTAAAGCATACTGAATTCTAAAACAAATCTGGCTGAAGCATTTCTGGTAAGAGAACTTATCAGCTCCCCATTCTGTCTACATTAGCACGTTCTTTCTTGCTTCCTGTTCTCCAAACACTAGCATGGAACACTGTCCTTTTGTAGCAAAAACAAAACAAAACAAAACAAACCCTGTTGTATTAGTACTCCACTGTACTCAGATCTTATAAAGGACTATGGTGTGGGATCCCTGGCTCAGTCGGTTGAGAGTCTGACAATTGATTTCAGCTCAGGTCATGATGTCAGGGTCATGGGATAGAGCCCTGAGTTGGGCTCTGAGCTGCATGAGGAACCCGCTTGGCATTCTCTCTCTGCCTCTCCCCATGCCCCATCCCCACTCTCTCTCTTTCTTTAAATTAAATTCAATTTAATTTAAAAAGACTACAGTGCACTGAATGGTTTCGAACAAGTTGCTGTTACATAGGATCTCTTTATTTGATGTATTTGGCAAATTTCAGCTGTGAATGTTTAGAGTTTTAGTTAATCTTCTCACACTGGAGTACATAATTATTAAGCATGATGGATTATTCCACATTCAGCTTAAACGATTTAGACTAGCTAGCACATTCAATAGTGCTAAATGGTAGGCAACTTGACTTTCAAAATGATGGTACACATTTCTGAAAATAACTTTTTACTTTAAATTGTAGTTCACTATTTTCCATTCCAAAAGCAGAAGAAAAATGTGAAGAGGCCGTTGTGAGCTCCAGGTAGCAATGGGGATTGTTTCACTTATATTGTAAATCACACCTGCAGGCGAAGGGTGAAGAGCACTTACGTAAATGTCTCGAGAAGTTGTTTTGAAGTAACCAAATCAAAATTTTATAGTGAATCCACAGTTTTACTTGCTTCTCCTAAATAAGACAAATTTTATATGGAGTGTGCTCTTCAGAGAAGGCAAAAGTCACAGCCCTTACTGGACTGATAAATAACTAAGAGTTGGCCACAGTGGGAAGGGTGGGCATTTCTAAAGCAACCACTTGCCGTGGGAGGAACAATCCAAAGTGGAGTTTCAGTTTTAAATAAAAAATGCTAAGAGATCCACACAGTGTGCGTATAAAAGGCAAGATCTCCCATTTGCTGCACCTGGAGAGAAGAGAGAGCGTTTGCTTCAGATACAAGAGTGAAAAGAACAAGTCTTTGATTCAGGAGCAAGGGCGCCCTGGAAAGGCTCGTGGTGAAGGGAGGCGGTAGGAGCTCCGGCTCAGCCTGAATCCACAACTTGCAGGGCTCCTTGGAGCGAGAATAATGTTAATAATCATGACGTCTGCAACCGATGCAGTGCCTATTATGTGCCAGGCAGGGCCACGTCTCATTTAATTCTTGCAGGGTGGCCTCCGTTGTGGAGAAGTACCTGACGCTTAGGCCGGGGTGCCAGTGGGATGGCCAAGAGCAGCATAGCTGTCTCTGACTCTCACTCTAGCATGTCTTTGGCCCAAAATCTATTTGAGAGATTGTGTCAGAGTGCCCACCATCTCCCTCTTACCTTCCCCCACCCCCAGTAATCTTACTTTCAAGTATTTTAAAAAAATTTTAAAAAGATTTTATGTATTTATTCAAGACTGACAGAGAGAGAGAGAGAGAGAGAGAGAGAGAGAGGCAGAGACACAGGCAGAGGGAGAAGCAGGTTCCATGCAGGGAACCCGACGTGGGCCTCGACCCGGGGTCCCCAGGATCCCACCCCTGGCTGAAGGCAGGTGCCAACCCGCTGGGCCATCGGGGCTGCCCACTTTCAAGTATTTGATAATGTGTATGTGCAGAGTTGTACTTGCTGTGGCTCGGTGATACCAACTAACAGCAACGGCAACAAATCCTTGACATTTCTTTTAAAAGTAAGATGATAATGACCTACAATTAATTGAATAAATACTAATTTATTAGATTCTTATAATGGGCCAGGTTTACGTTTCATAGAGATCAAACCCAGATATGGTCCCCACCATCATGGAACCGCCGGAGAGTGAAGGATACTAGTTAGATATTCACCTTAACAGGTACATAATACAGACAAATAGGGTGATTGTAATCCCAGGGCCTGTGGTTGGGAGGCGGCGGGAGGAAGGGGGGTGCGGGATGGGGGAAGGCTGGGGGAGAAGCCGCGTGGGCCAAGCACGCGGCCCCACTGGGCCGGCATCCGCGGAGGGGCCTCGGGGCACAGGCGCTGGCGGAGGGTTCCTGGTGGAGGGACATCGCGGAGGGTTCCCGGTGGAGGGACATCCCGGAGGGTCCCCGGTGGAGGGACATCGGGGAGGGTCCCCAATGGAGGGACATCCGCGGAGGGTTCCCGGTGGAGGGACATCGCGGAGGGTCCCCACTGGAGGGACATCCACGGAGGGTCCCCACTGGAGGGACATCCGTGGAGGGTCCCCGGTGGAGGGACATCGCGGAGGGTCCCCACTGGAGGGACATCACGGAGGGTCCCCACTAGAGGGACATCCACATTGGGTCCCCACTGGAGGGACATCCGTGGAGGGTCCCCGGTGGAGGGACATCGCGGAGGGTCCCCACTGGAGGGACATCCGCAGAGGGTCCCCGGTGGAGGGACATCGCGGAGGGTCCCCAATGGAGGGACATCGCGGAGGGTCCCCGGTGGAGGGACATCGCCGAGGATACCCGGTGGAGGGACATCAGCGGAGGGTCCCCACTGGAGGGACACCCACATTGGGTCCCCACTGGAGGGACATCCGTGGAGGGTCCCCACTGGAGGGACATCCGTGGAGGGTCCCCACTGGAGGGACATCCACGGAGGGTCCCCACTGGAGGGACATCCGTGGAGGGTCCCCAGTGGAGGGACATCGCGGAGGGTCCCCACTGGAGGGACATCCGCAGAGGGTCCCCGGTGGAGGGACATCGCGGAGGGTCCCCAATGGAGGGACATCGCGGAGGGTCCCCACTGGAGGGACATCCACGGAGGGTCCCCACTGGAGGGACATCCGTGGAGGGTCCCCGGTGGAGGGACATCGCGGAGGGTCCCCACTGGAGGGACATTCGCAGAGGGTCCCCGGTGGAGGGACATCCGTGGAGGGTCCCCGGTGGAGGGACATCGCGGAGGGTCCCCACTGGAGGGACATCCGCGGAGGGTCCCCGGTGGAGGGACATCCATGGAGGGTCCCCGGTGGAGGGACATCGCGGAGGGTCCCCACTGGAGGGACATCCGCGGAGGGTCCCCGGTGGAGGGACATCGCGGAGGGTCCCCACTGGAGGGACATCCACGGAGGGTCCCCACTGGAGGGACATCCGTGGAGGGTCCCCGGTGGAGGGACATCGCGGAGGGTCCCCACTGGAGGGACATCCGCGGAGGGTCCCCGGTGGAGGGACATCGCGGAGGGTCCCCAATGGAGGGACATCCGCGGAGGGTCCCCACTGGAGGGACATCCGTGGAGGATCCCCAGTGGAGGGACATCGCGGAGGGTCCCCACTGGAGGGACATCCGTGGAGGATCCCCAGTGGAGGGACATCGCGGAGGGTCCCCGGTGGAGGAATATCAGCGAAGGTTCAAAAGCAAAAGAGAGAAAAAGAAAAAAGAAAAAACAAACAAAAAACAACAAAAAAAAAAACCAGAGATTTCATTTGTTGCAAATTGCAATTTCAAGGGTATGGATTTTTTGCATGACTTTAAGAGAAATAGAGTAAAATGATAGGAGAGTAGCATCCCCTGTTGGTTTACTGACTCTAATTAAGGTAAGTGCATTAAAGTAGAGTAGTTTAACAAGAGAAGGTGTAGGAAGTGTCAACATGAATAAAATCTCGAGTAGAAAAGCCAAGAGAAGCCTCTACTACGACAGCCATCTATTTGGCCAGTAACACTGAGCGTGAGAGGAGAAAAGGAGTCAGGAGTCAGAAGAGACCCCCCATAACATGTCCGAGGACATGAGCTCATTGTAGGAAAGAGGTCTCTGTGTGTGTGTGTCTTGTGCGTGAGTGTGTCTGTATGGATATAACGTGTTAGGTTGATTACCTCCGTGCTCAACACACAATAAGCCCCTAAAGAGTACTAACAGTCACACGCACACATAGTTAGGGGGCCTGACGCCCCGCTGCGTGGGCTCTGGCACCTTCTTTTTTAATCAAATTGCTCCGTAAGACAGACCCTACTCTAACAAATGCGCCAACTGAAAAAGTTAAACCAAAGGTTTTTTTTTTTTTTTCCTTTCGATGACTCAAAGAGAAATAAAATCAAAGAAAAAAAGAGTGAGATTTCAAAACGGCTAAGCTACTGAAAAAACTTAAGAACCTCCGGTATCCACCCTGAATAAAAACTTATTTTCCCAAATAGTGTCTTCAAACACTGGGAACACCCACAGCAACGAGATTGAGGCCCACAGCCTGGCACTGTCTACGGGTGTGCTCTGTGTATGATGTGGTGTCATACAGGAAAGCAGTTTCTAGAATTCTTGCCACGTGAGAGGTACTTTCCTTGGCGTCCTTTGTTCTGCAGAAAGAGTTGCTAGGAATGAATCAGGACATGCATATCTGAGTAGGTGAAAGTCCTGGGTTCCTGCCATCCAGAGTGTGGCCCTGGCACCTGCAGAAATGCCTCTCCACTATGGGGGAGCCCAGTGCTGCCCCAGAAGTGGGACAGGAAGCCCAGACACTGTTCTGCGTGCTCTCAATCGAACAGGTGTCTCAGAGCGGGTCAAATCAATGTCCTATCTCACCGGCGTGAGAGTGTTCTGGAGAAGAGGGCATTTCCGTCTCCTCCCACCGCTTTCCACAGCTGCCCCAAGGTCAGGCCTAGGCTTAACACCTGCTGAAAACTCATCTTATTCCTCCCACCAGTGACGGCTCCTCATGGAGCGAACCCCGGGGAGAGAACCATCAATGCCTGTGGCCTCTGGGCCCAAGAAACTGCTTCTTCAGGCTGAGGAGCAGGGCTGAGGAAGGACCCTGTGGCCTCCCCAGCCATCAGTGGGAGGGTGGTCCTGCAGCACCCTACCCTTTGTGCACCATTAGGCTCAAGAGAGATTAGAAAGGGGTTGATGGCTGAGGAAGCTTTAAAAAAAATGTTATTTGATATATTGTGAAATAGATAGAACCCCATTGAATTCCATTGACACTTTCTGAGTTGAGGGAATTCGTGTTGTCACAATTAGCATGACTGTTTCTGGTCGTGTTTAGGTTTGTATTTGCAAGAACACTAACTGATTCGGTTGACAGAGCCAACCGATACCTGGGAGGCGCTTATTTGGTTGAGCACAAGATTATTCAGCTCGCTGTGCCCCTTTGCCTGCACGCACGTCATTCCTACTTCTGAAATACTAATGGTGAATGGTGCGGGCATGGAAAAGTTCTACTTCAGGATTGGATTGTATCCGAGAAAGGCCCCAGTGGAGGACACAAACATAGACGACTGCGAAGATCACTGTATTAGTCTTAATTTTAATTGAAATAGGCTACCGTGGGGGCTGCTTGAGGACCGCATCTGCGAAAAAGAGAGTGAAAGGAACAAGCAAACTTGGCTCATGGGTCCTGGGTGTCTCAGCACAAAAGAGCACCGGTTCCCCCCCCCACACACACACACATCCTCATACCTGTTCTAAGCCTCGGTGGCCCCAATTCTCCAGCCTGTAGCAGGAAAGGCACACAGGAAACGTGTTCAGGAGATGGGTGGGCAGCAAAGAGTGGACTCATGGAGAAGAAAGAGAACTATCCAGTCAGTCTGGGTCCTCAATATAGGTCAAATTTTCAGACATCCAGACTGTTCTAAATGGATAGTAATCTGGCCATTATCCAATTTTAAGGATCAGAGAAGTGAAGTCCCTTCTATCAGTCTATATTTGCACAGTGCTTTATGATATGAGAAGTATTTTCATCTACCTTCTATGATTTGATTTTTCCCAAACCTTGTAAAATGGGTGTGATTTGCAAATGTAACATTGGCGGAAATAACCGAGGCTTAGAGAGTACACTTCTTTTATGTAAGCCAGAACTAAACCCAGGTTTTATGATTCTAAATCTATTCACTTAAAGCATAATTACCACCTAAAGAGAACACATCCACTCTAACGATTCTTTGATCAAAGTGAGGACAACTTGTAATTACTCAGTCTGCCTTTTTACCATTTTTTTTTTAAAGAAATAACATCTTGGTAAATCATCCCGATCCTGTTTCAGATGCTAAAAACTGGTCACCAGGTCCCTGCCTCAGGGAAGCCCGGCTCTGTGCATTCGCGTGTGTCTTCTCCTTTGAGACAAGTCCTCGGACATCCAGCCTGAACTGAAGTGCCTGAGAGCCATATGCACCATGCAGCCCTCTGCTCTGCCTCTTTACAGTGAAGTGACCAAAAGGTCTTCAGGGATCGAGCTCAACAAAACCTCATCTCCCTTGTGTAGCGTATCTCTTGGTGCTGCACGGCCTTGCCGTTGACTTAGTCTGTACCACATCAAAGCCCCCATGAATGTAGACTCTAGAGATTGTGTTTGATAACTGTTCAATAAGCCTTGAATTTTACTTCAAATCTATTTATGGAGAAGGATCCTGCTAAAGAAATCAGTTAAGCATGTTTCTGGAGAGTATTTATACACACAGCTTCCAAAAAAGATTATTCTTTATAATTAGCAAGGTAGCTTTTTCATGTTAACTCAAGAATTCAGTTCAGCAATCATGACCCAAGTCGACACGCAGGACTCTATGAAATCAAATAGAGTTATGATCTAATCAGGGGAACCCGGCTGAGGCTTCCTAACCTGTCCCATGGCCTAAGTTCTACCTGCCGATGTGTAATCGGAAATAATGCAATCCTTTTCTGAAATCCCACAACACCCGTGTTTGCCCCAGACTTCCCAGAAATAGATGCCAAGGAGGCTTAAACATGCAAGAAAGTTATTGAGGGAGAGATTAAGACAAAATGAAGAGAGAGTCAGGAGAGGCTCAGAGAGCCCTTTAGAACACATGCCAGTCGGACCTTGAGTAGAGGAGAGAGGGACAAAGGAACATAGATTGGAAGGAAGTGTCTTGAGTGGCCATGAAGTTCTCAGGGAGGTTCAGCCAAGTTGTCAACAGTCCTGGAGTCAAAGGTATCATATATCAGAGGAGTCCCGCGTCCCCTGAAAGGACCATCCTTGGAATCCCTGTCACGTGCAGACATTGCTAGGAGATGGGAGCTTGGCCTTGCAGTGATGATTGCAGGTGACAGCAGCTGGATCCTTGGTCATTTGGAGACCTGAGACCTACATTCTCGAGGCCACCATCCTACCTTTCTGATAAAACAATCATGTAAATGATGTGTGGTTGCCTGAATAACCCCACACACACTCCAAGATGTCCACGAAATAGTCCCTAAAACCTGTGATTGTCACCTTATGTGGTAAAGTGGGCTTGGCACATGTGATTGAGGCCAGGACCTACAGATAGGAGGACTTTGCTGCATTATCTGGGTTGGACCAATTTAGTCACAAGAGCCCTAGTAACAGGGAGGCAGGAGGATCAAGTCGGAGTAAGAGATCAGAGAGAGCAAGGTTAGAAGAGGCCCACTGCTGGCTTTGAAGGTGGAGAAAGGAGGCAGAGCCGAGGAGAGCAGGAAGTCTCTAGAAGCTGGGTTAGGCAAGGAAGTGGATTCTCCCACAGGGTGTTCAGACTGTTGACTTCAGCCTGGTGAAACCCACTTCTGACATCTGAGCTCCAGAACTGGAAGGCAGCACATTTACACTGTTTTAAGTTGCTAAATTCTTGATAATCTGTTACAGCAACAACAGGGAGCTAGGGCAGATTTCATGACATATCATTCACTAAAACGAGCAAGCCAGAGGAGACGCACATGGTGCTGTGGAGTTCTAGTAGAGACGAGCCCCATGCAGTCAGGGCCAAGACAAAGGTCAGGGCCTCATGACCCAGAAAGACCTAAATTCTAATTCCCTCTCTGTGGCCTCGGACAAGCCACATCACTCTGCAGGGCAGGTTCCTTATAGGTAGAAGGGGATTTTTAGGGGCTGTAGTGAGAACTAGACGTTCAAAGGTATGATAGTAATATGGAAGGATCCCAGGAAATTAGCTCTGTTTGTAGTACAGCTAGGAGTCATAATCATATCATTTTTTTTGATCAGGCTAAATGGTTGTTATTAATTTATTTAGCCAAGACTTTGTTAACGATCTCTTACAGGCCAAGCGCTGGGCTAGGTATTGTGGATAAATTTGGTGAATAACAAAAAGCTCCAATCCTGGGAAGCATGCATGCTAGCAATTAAAGGGAAATTAAATTTCTTAAAAAGATTTTATTTGAGAGAGAGAGAGAGAGAGAGAGAGTAAATGGGAGAGAGATTCTGAAGCAGACTGAATGCTGAGTGCAGAGCCCAATATGGAGCTCAATCCCATGACCTAGAGAGCACAGCCTGAGCCAAAACCAAGAGTCAGGTGCTTAACCAACTGAGCCACCCAGAATCCCCTGGAAATTAAATTTTTTTGAT